CCGGTCAGTAGAGCGTAGGACTCTCAAACCCCATGTTAGGTGTAGAGATTACTTAAAAGTAAAATAAATAAATAAATAAATAAATCTTAAAAAATTTATCTATCATGATAATAATGGCTTATAGTGTAGAGTAGTATATAATATACAGACTGTTTTCAATTATGCATTTTTATCTACTCTTCACACATTTCCTACAATGGTAGTATCATGATCTTCATTTCATAGTTTTAGGAAGCTGAGGCCCAAATGCTTTGAGACTCATCTAAGCTCTCCTAACTCATAAGCCACTGATGATTTTGTTCTGTCCCGTCACACAGCATTGCCTCTCCAGTGGGTGCAGATTGTGCCATAGACATTTCTCACCTTACAGTAAAAGAAGAACCATAGAAGAGGGACCCTGGGCAGAAACAAAAAGGAAAGGTGACTGTCCTCCAGTCCAGGTGTCTGAAGGGACATCTTTGTTCCTCTGGGTGATGCTCTCATAAAGGGTGTTTCTGTAGGAATGTGCCCTGGTTTATTCTCCTAACTTTGGGTCTCTTTGCTAATCCTGAAGATCTGTGACACTAGATAAATCCTAGATTTTATTCTTCACAAGGGAGAAATATGAAGATGGCATTTTTGAAAGTTTGCTGAAGCCTTCCCTAACATAGAAAATCTAGTGTTTTTGTGATATTTTTCTTAATTTATTTAATAAGTCATGGAGGTTTAAATCTGACCCTCCCCATATCTTTGAGTATTTCTCACACAATTAAACAAAGAATACTTGTAATTTTATCCACACTAGAATACTTGTACTTGTAATTTTATCCACATTAGAACCAATCAGGGACATCCTGTGTTTTATTTTATGCCCTAGAGCATGCTTCTTCTTCTTCTTTTTTTTTTTTAAAGTCCTACACCCAGTGTGGGGCTTGAACTCACAACCCTGGGATCAAGAGTCACATGCTTTACAAACTGAGCCAGCCAGGCACCCCAATCCAGAGCTCCTGTGTTTTATTTTATTTTATTAAAAAATTTTTTTTTAATGTTTATTTATTTTTGAGACAGAGATAGACAGAGCAGGAACAGGGGAGGGTCAGAGAGAGAGAGACACAGAATCTGAAGCAGGCTCCAGGCTCTGAGCTGTCAGCACAGAGCCCGACGCGGGGCTCCAACTCACGGACTGCGAGATCACGACCTGAGCCGAAGTCGGACGCTCAACTAACTGAGCCACCCAGGCGCCCCTCTTTATTTTAAAGCACTTTTACAAATATGGTGTCTCAGTTATGTCTTACCACAACCCTGGGAGGTGGTTCTTATGTTTCCTGTAATATAGGTGAGAAAACTGAGGCTCACAGAGGGACAGTTACTTGCCCAAAGACACACAGTGGTTGAATCACTTAGTGGTTGGCCTGAGACCAACCCGTAGATCTCCAAATCTAGATTACAGCTAGATGCCTCAGCAGGTACGTTAAGGGAGGTGGGGGCAGAGAGTATTTGCTTTGGTATAGGGATGCTTTTACTAAATCCCATTTTCAAGGCTGATAGCCCAGAATAGGTGTAAAGATGGGAAGAAAGAGGATTCTGTTTTATTTCATTTTATATTTTAAGTTTATTTGTTTTGAGAGCAAGGGAGAGAGAACGGGGGTGGGGGTGGGGGGAGGGAAAGGGAGATAGAGAGAATCCTAAGAAGGCTTCACACTGTCAGCACAGAGCCTGATGTGGGGCTGGAACTCAGGAATCATGAGATCATGACCTGAGCCGAAACCAAGAGTCGGATGCTTAAGTGACTGAGCCACCCAGGTGCCCCAAGAGGATGCTGTTTTAGAGAATGTGCTTCAGAAAAGCTTCAAATCTATTTTTGTTTCACTTATTCAAAAAGGCATGCTCCATGTTTTAAATTAATATTTTCCCCAAAGCTATTTTAAATCCAGTTCAATATTAATAATCAAATCTTTTTAAATTGATAAAAGTCCCTGATTATTGATTTATTTTCAAAAACAAAATAAAATAGTATCTCTGTCAGCTCAGGAAAACAACTAAAATCATTTAAGTGTTTACTAAAACTATTGAGATAGAATATTAAATATTCTATGATTGCTATTTTCAAGTAGAAACTAAATGTACTGAAATTAGAGAAGTGGTTCTGTCCTTAACCAGCCCCTAGCACCTAAACCAATGCTAACTAACTGGGTTTCATTCCATAGCATTCTTCTGGTGTGTCCCTCTGTGACAAGGCAAAGGGGGAGGAACGTTAAGGTCTTTGGAGCCACAACAGCTGCTGCTCTCAGGCCTGCTCTGTATTTTGCAAAAGGACATATCTATGAATGAAAGGCTGGAATTTAAATTACCATGCAAACAGCACTTTCTCTTTTTTTTAAATTTTATTTTAAGTTTATTTATTTTGAGAGAGATAGAGAGAGTGAACGGGGAAGAGAGAGAGAGAGAGAGAGAGAGGGAGACAGAGAGGGAGAGAGAGAATCCCAAGCAGGATCCACGCTGTCAGCACAGAGCCCAATGCAGGGCTTGAGCTCCTGACCCTTGAGAGCACAACCTGAGCCGAAACCAAGAGTTGAACACTTAACCGACTGAGCCACCCAGGTGCCCCCCAAACAGCACTTTCCACAGAAATTTCCTGTTTTGAGGATGCATTTCAGTTCGCAGTTATACACCAACTCTAAGAAAGTAGTTTCGTGTGTGTTTCATTCTTTTTGTTTTTATTTGCAGTGTATTTAAATACCCTTTACTCTGGGGAGATAGCAGTCAGACAGAGAGGTCCTGAAATTTTTACTTGATGGTGAGATAAACATGAGTTAATGTCACCCGGATCATCTGGATGGTGTGGCAGACTTTGTGAAGGGCAGACCTCACTGGAGCTCATCCTTACGCTCAGCAAAGGGGAATCAATGTGTCGATGATATTTTAATTGGCTGTCTGCATTGTGTGGGCTCATTAGATGATTGCCAACCTTCTTCTTCACTTTGTGCCACACAGACCTGGCCACCGAAGACGCGTTGAAGAAAGAGATGCTGGGAGCAGAGGCTGTTGGACAAGAGACCACAGGGGAAAGAGGAGGGGGCAAAACCTGGAAAGTATAGTGGGGGGGAACAAAAGGTCCCGAGGTGGGAGAAAAGAAAGGCAGCAGAGTGGAGAGCCCAGGAGGGGTTCAGGCTAGAGGGGGAAACTCCAGACACCAAAGTTCTGAGAAGATAGAGAGGAAATATAGATGGACAAATGATATCAGGACAGGCAGAGAAAAGCTTCAATAGAGAAAGAGAGCCACAGAGGACAGCCTGCCAGGGGAGGGGAGCTGCGGGATGGGGTGTGGGTTGAGGTAAGAGATGACTCTGGTCCAAAGGGCTCCATTGAAGGGCAGGGGTGAGGGCCCCAATTTCCTCCCATTGTGGGAGGGAGACACACACAATCTGGAAATGATGAGCCTAGTCCATCAGAGATGGGGCAGGGTATCAGACAAACTGAGGGAAATGAATGGTCACCACCTTATACCAGGGTGAGGACGATCACTGATGGGGAGCTGGGGGGTGGCACTGGACAATAAGGTTAAGGTCATCATAGAGTGAGCTTGCTGGGCCCTTGAGCAAATGGGCGTGATTCCAAAGACAGCACTTAACTAAAAGAAAAACAAAAATAGCATTATCAGTGGTGGATTTCTCACCTCATCTTGCCCTGTTGAAGAAAGTTTTCTAGAAAACAAAAATATCTGGGGCTCCTGGGTGGCTCAGTCGGTTAAGCGTCTGACTTCCACTCAGGTCATGATCTCGCGGTCCATGAGTTCGAGCTCCGCATCCGGCTCTGTGCTGACAGCTCAGAGCCTGGAGCCTGTTTCAGATTCTGTGTCTCCTTCTGTCTCTGACCCTCCCCCGTTCATGCTCTGTCTCTCCTTGTCTCAAAAATAAATACACGTTAAAAAAAATTTTTTTTAAGAAAATAAAAATATCTGAAATCCAACCCTCCTTGTAAAGAAGTCACCCATATGCAATAGCAAAAAAAAGGGCAGGGGAGGCAAATATCCATCGATAAGAAACAAATAATTTGTTTGTCTCTTAGTTGCAAGTTTGTACCATAAAAAAAAAAATAAAAATAAAAAAATCATTCCTACTTTCCCACCACCCAGCCTCTGATAATCACCATTTGACACTCTGTTTTTATGAGTTTGGCTTTTTAGATAGAACATAAAGTTGATATCATACAGTATTTATCTTTATGGATTCATCCATTGACTGGCACTTACGTTGTTTCCATATCTTGTCTATTGTCAATAATGTAGCAGTAAACATGGGAGTGCATACAAATAAATAAGAAACAAGTGATAATACCCAGACTAAGTCATACTATGCAGTAGCTAAAAACAAGAGATGAGGACATACACTGGAAGATAAATCATAAACCCAGAGTTTGATTCCAGTGGATATGCGTGTATGTCCAAATGAGGTCACCATGGGAAATGCCCTGAATTGTAGACAGTGATAATGCCCTGGGTGGGTGGGGGGGGGGGGGGGGAGGCAGTGACTTGACTCACTCCAAATACTTTGGGTCCTTGAAAAAAAAGGTCACGATAAAGATGACATGGAAGGAGAGACAGCAGAAACAGGAATCTCTCTACATTTGCAAGAACATCCATCAGGAAGGAGGGAATAAAGGTATCTGGAACCATCTGCATGATCTATATTAACCTTAAGGGGAAGTGCCTGACTGAGGCTGGGAAGGGATGGGGCACCACTCTGAGAAGGCTCTTATTTTTGTGGAGTGGGTAGAAACTAGAAATAACATGTTGCCACTGATAATAACAATATGCTGGGTCTTGTCTGGAGATCTCAGAACACTTTTAAGGCACACATTTCTTATCCTTGGGAGACAGTCTGATAGCATCGTCCATAGGGTAATTAAGGGCTGCTAGTCTGACCACACAATGAATCATTAGAAAGCCCAGAATCAGAACTCTGACTTGGAGCCTGCCTGGGTTCTGGAATGTGTTGCCTCATACTGTCTTAGAACTTTAACTCTGGCAGCCACCTGCCAGACTAGCCAAGCCTGCCTAACCTCTGCTCACTTCAGCTTAAATGTCACTTCCTCAGAGATACCTTCCCTTCACCTGCTGCAGCTCTCACTTACCTCCTGGGCTCCCCACGGTCTGTCCTTCTATCTGCATTGGGGCTTACCACCTGTGGCGCTTACCCCTCCAGCAGACCGCAGGGCATCCCCTGAGCAGGGGCCTGCTTCATCCTCTCTGTTTACCACTACATCCCTAACACCAATACTTCCAGAATCACTTCACGGTGGTTCCCTCTATCTCAAACCTGGCATTTGAAACTTGGTGTTAGGTAGGTGGGGTTGCCAAGGAAGATGCTGGAACAAATCCCTGCATTTCCTGAGCGGGTTAGCTGGTGACTGTGTGAACCTACAGTCCCTGTGGTATGTGTGATTCAGGGCCCTCACCCTGGCAATCGGCCCGTTTGGTGAGATGAACGCCTGCCTACACCCAAGACTCCAGGTGCTCAGCTGCAAGCCTGGTGGTTAGAAGTGGCACAGGGGCAGACCCAGAGGGGAGGGAGGGACACAGGTGACTGTATCCCTCAGCCACGTGGCCTTGCCAGGCACCAGGGAGCCAGGGAACAAATGAGGGGTGTTGCCAAGGAGGGTGAGTATCACCCTTCCTCCAGCTCCTCTGCCAGCAGCAGCCCCCGCCCTGTGGGAACGACACGTTGAAAATCCCTCCTCTGAGACCCAGGGGAATTTTCAGCTTTTTCCTGCTCCCTTGGAGGAGGAGACACCAAAGTGCAGCTCTTGTGTGTGGTTCTGTTGAGCTCCACCAGATCCCTCCCACCCCCTAAGTATCGAGAAACAATGACAGTGAGCAGATGTTTGCCCCCAAGCTGCTCAGGGCGAGGCAGCATCTCCCACTCCTGCCTTGTTGTGGGAGCCCCCCCCCCCCACTCCGTGGAGGAAGAGGATGCCTCCCAGTGGGTGGGAAGAGGGAGGGGTGGGGCATAGATTGAAGGAAGGAGAGCCAGGCCTAAAAGGTGCGGCAGATGGTGCCGAAAGGGAAATTCCTGTGTGCCAGAGACGGTGTCCTGGTTCTGTGTCCCAGCAGCTCTCTCCCCCACCCTCACCCTTCTGAGCTCATACTTCACGACACCCTTGTAAACGGAGTCCTGGGGTGGAAGGCCCCGCACCTTGCCCAGTGCACAGGCCATCCTACGCCTTCCTAAACCTTCATCCCCCACCCGCATGGGCCTTGCCTCCTTGGCCAGTCAGAATGATTTGCCAACAGCTTAGGGCCTTCTGTGCCTAAAGCCCACACTGCTTCCCTGGAACTTTACTCAAGTCTTATTCCCTAGAGCTGCAGAGAAGTTCTGCACGAGAACATTTCTAGCATCCTGGGAAATCGCTGAGTTGTTTGTGTTATCCTGTCTTCACTCACCTCAGATCACGAGTAGAGAGCAATGAAGCCTGAGACCCTCAAGGTTTAGGATTCCAAGGTTCAGTGTGCGCCTGACTGCTCAGCTGGGAGTTTCCTTTGCTTTTATGGATTTCAAGTGAGAACCACTTTACCGGTCAAGTAAATGGACCCCTAAAAACAGTGGACCCCCAAAACCACTGGACAGGAGTTTAGGGAGGTAGGGGTGCCATTTCTCAGGTGGATCAAAAGCAGACAAAGATTCCCTTGGGGTGGGGGAGGACCTAGGTCCCCAGGTGTTCTCTGTGGGGAAACAGACTACTGCCCTCCTCTGAATAGAATTGGAGGTCCCCATCCTCCTCAACACCCCCACCCCATCTCTACTATGGAACATTTTCATTTTTTCTTGGTAGAATGGGAAGCACTTTTCAAAGTTACAAGAACCTTCTGATCATGGCACTATTGGATATCCGAGAGCCAAGAATCATTTTTGTCTTCCTACAGGTGAGGGAAATGAGGTCACTTGTCAAGAAATGTACATTTTCTCAGAAAACATTGTTGCAATGGAAGCAGCAAGGCATAAAACAGAACCCAGGAACTGTTGAAAAGGTCGGTGGGTGTGTGTTCCTTGGGACTAGAGAGCCACCACAGACAGACTCATTCTTGGATGACATTCTGACTCTAAGCCTTCAAAATCCCCTCTTGGAGAGTGACGATCTGCTGGTTGGTGCTGGGATTCAGGTCACCCTCCTCACTGTAGGCTGGTGGCCTGACATTTCCAGGCCATGGCACAGTCTCAGACTTACCAGATCCTGTAACCCATGATCTGCTCTGCCTTTCAGCTATCACCCACCCTGTCTGAGCCTCAGTTCACTCACTTGTATCCAGAAGCCTCAACAGATAATTGAATAATTAAGTGAAATCATGTAAGTATGAATGGCTCTGATAGATCTTAAGAACTCCAATATTACTTTCCCCTTTTCTTAGGTTTCCCTTAAAGAGAAGTGGGGGTGGGGCATCCCTAAACGCAGACCTCCTCACTGCTCAGAGGCAAAGCCCACTGGCCAAAGTCCTGAAAAGGTAACACCCGCTAGTGCCTCCTGAACGTTCTCTGCCATGAGGATATAGTAGATAGTCTCAGCCTCGCAGGAGGTCGGTAGCACTCTCTCTGTTTTCACAGCTAAGGAAACTGAGGCTCAGAAAGATGAAACAGTTTATCCAAGGTCACAGAATTACAGAGGACAGCAAGGCTGGACTTCAGACTCTCAATCCCCTGTATTAACCACCAGACAGTGTTACCTGCCTCTCGCCCACCACTGCAGCAGAAAGGCAAACTCATTCCTGCATTCACCTCATAAGAACCTTGGCGTTATCTTCCTGGGGAGGCCTAGCCGGCCACACAAACAACCAAAGCAGTTTAGGGTGAAGGTCAGGGGCTGGCCGAACACGGGAGGCAGTCTCAGGCTGTGTCTGGCTGTGATTATGTCAGAGACTGGGCTGAAATACTGTAAGTGGTTAGGAGGGTGAAAGCGTGGGGTTGGGGGGGTGGGGCTGGTTAATTGAGATGGGAGGGGAACGTGGGGGTGAGTAGGCGCATCCAAGCTTTCAGATCCGGTGCTGTTCCCGTAAACAAGTACAACCCTCAGCTCCCTGGAGGGCCCGAGGAGCAAATGTGCGCATCTCTGCCTCCTTCCCAGCAGCTGTTCGCTGGAGGACACAGCCCTGCCATCTCCACAGTCCTTCACCAGGCTTTCCCCAGCCCCCAGCTCCAGCCTCAGGAAGTGGAGCTGCTGAGAATCTCTCCTCCAGCCTCGCCTCCTGCCGAGAGTGTCCTCTGCGTGAGCATTTCCTGGCCTAATTAAGCTGGGTAATGAGTAGCTAAGAGGGAGGGGATAAAAGCCCTAGGCGGCTTAGAGCTGGGACAGTTTATGACAGGGGCGTCTGCAGCTGGTGACACTCTTAGGAAAGTTATTTCTCATAACCTGGGAAGTTGCATGCTGTTTCCATAGCACAGTGAGCCCCAAGGTAAGCACAGGGAATATTGCACTTAAGAGGGACCAGCTGGAGGGTCCTGAGAGGGTCCTGAGTGGGGTGGTACTGGGGGGGTCTGAGAAAAGGACTGATCCCAGCTGCGGAGCAGTCCTGAGCCGCCCAGGCTAATGCCCTTGGCTTAGCCCCAGGCCGGGGTGTCCTTGGTGACCACGTGTGACTCCCCAGGGCTGGGGTTTTATGTTTCATTTGAATGATAGGACTGTGCACTGTGGGCAGTTTCCTAAGACCGTGTCCGCCCCGAGTAAGGAAATCTGAGCCAGACGCTGATCCTGACTCCCCTCAGTCTTCTTTTAAGGTGCCCAATATTGTGTCCTGGAAAATACCAAGCGCCCAGCAGCCAAGCAGGAGCCCTGGGGGACTGGGGAAGGCTGACAGCAGCCTGGCCTTTCAGAGACCTTCAAAGGCCAAAAGTTGACTGTTTCCACTTCCAAACTCTGCCTCAAGAACCCAACTCCACAACCACAGCCTGTGTACCTTGGCACCGTGTCTATTTCATTTGTTTAAATCACTTTGCACTCAGGCATTAGTTGGCCACCCCCCACCCCGCACCCCCTGCTCTGGTGTGTGAGGGGGAGGCAGTGTGTTGGGGCCTGGGTCTTGGAGTAGGTTTCATCACTAGAACAAGGGTTTCCCCCTGTACAATCAGGGCGTTGGCGATGCCTAGCCTCCAATGTGCTATGAGCGCACAACCTCCACTGTCCATGAGTCGGGGGGAATGGCCAAAACGTGGCCACATTTCCCAGGCCTTTCAAATTAGGGAACAGTATGTGCACTTTTACACCCAGGAGCAACTTGCTCTGATTATCAGTGTAGAGAAGAGCTGTACCCAGTGAATGTTACTGATGATGGAAGAGCTCAGCCTTCCTCCTGCACTCCAAAATCGCTATTTTGAACTTTTCTAATTTTCTTTCTTTTTTTTTAAGTAGGCTCCATGCCCAATGTGGGCCTTGAACTCAAGATCAAGAGTCATATGCTCTACCAACTAAGCCAGCAGGTGCCCCTTGATCCTTTCTAATTTTCTGAAGAAGACTGTTTCAGGCCATGTCCTCAGAACCCCACTTCCTCTTGGTGGCCAGAGCTCAGGGCCCACGGCTACAGGAAATTTGCAGAGTCCCTCCTTTTTTTTGTCTCTCTTCACTCTCTCCCCTTTGCTGTTCTCATAATCTTATCTACCCTCTTGGCCTGCTTCTCTTTCTTTTTAACCCATTTTTTATTGAGATATAATTAACATATAATTTGTATGAGTTTAAGATATAAAAAAATGGTTTACTCCATGTATATATTGTGAAATGCTTCTCTTTCCAAAGGAGAATGGTCAGATCACAAATAACCTGGTGTCTCCCATCTTTCCCTCCTGCTGTAGTTGTCCTTGGAATGGAAGGAGACTTGGTGGCCAGACGCCTGACCGGGGAGGGCAGGTCTGAGCTGCACCCCCCTCCTCTGCAAGGACGCCTGGGACTCTCAGAATTCTGAAAGGGGGGTTCTGGAGTTCTGAAGAGGGGAGAGCAGGCCTGGTGGCTTTCACTGTGACCTGACCACCCTGCACTGGGTGGCCAAGCCCAGAAGTCTCTGGCATCCTCCAGCCCTGCAGCAGCTGGGCAGGCCCTGGGAGCCAACTTACTCTGAATGTGTAATCCTGGTTAAAAAGAGAAAGGGGGAAAGATCTTGTAATTTCCCAAGACACAGGCAATTGAAACCTTATACTCTTGTCAAGGGAGTCCTTTCACTAAGAGAGGCAGGGAGAGACAGGGAGAGGGAGGAAGAAGGCGAAGGAGGAAGGAAGGAAGGTGTGAGAGAGGCCATTCGGGACCCAGCACTGGGCCCAGCTAGGCCATGAGTGCTCCGTGTGTCACCTACCCCAGTCATTGGCCTGATGCTGACTCTTGAGGAGAGCTGAGAGAAGAGGTCTACCGGGTGTGAGAGCAGCAGTGCCCGTGGCTTTTACACACCTGCCATCCCCCTCTGTCCTCTCTCCCTTGGAGCCTCTGTCCCTTCTCCAGAGGACCAGCAGCTCCTCCTTGCCTTCCCTGCCTTTTGTGGGAGGGGGGTCAAATGCAGTTGATAAAAATGCACAAAGGCCTTCAACACACCAATAAGAAGCAGTTCTTTCCTTCCTTCATCCAGCAAATAGTCATTGATCAATTGGATGAATGAAAGAAATACTATTCCATGCAGTCAAATGCATGGTCAGGGAGGAAAACCAGTCCAACCTGACTTGGAAGGGTCCTGGTTGCTCACCCTTTTTCAACTACAAAGGATTGCAGGTGTTTATCAGGCTAAAACCACAGAAATTTAGGGAGGCTGCTTTGGGACAAGCTCTGTGCTAAGTGTGGTTTGGGAGACACTGACATATATGGCAAAGCATCTGTCCGTGAGGTATAGCATGCCATCTGGCTGGAACAGCAAGGCCATGAGCCCAAACAAGTGGGGAACAATATACAAGGAAGTCCAATATGGAGCCCAAAGGTGTGATAGGGCCAGGGAATGGCCCCACAGGTCAGTTCTTTTGTATCTTACAGAGAAGGCTTTTTTTAGGTGAAAATTCCTAATGTCACTCTCTGAGTCAGCAGTGGTTTGTTGAGCTCCCATGGTGTGCCCGGTACTGGCCCAGGTACTGGTGATACAGCTGCGAACACAACAAACTCACCACCCTGGGGGAGCTCACCCTACAAGACTTGACTTCATTCTTATCCATGCACTCTTGTATTTCACAGTTCATTCATTCATTCATTTACTCATGTGCCATCCTTACTCAAAAAGGAATTAAGGTAGTTTATAATTAATGGATAAAACCAAATACTAGAATCTAGAAATACTAGATTCTAGATACTAGAAATTCTAGATTCTAGAAATACTAGAAATACTAGATTCAGGGAAGTGTGTAACACTGAGCCTAAAAATCAGCTCTGAGCTGCCTGGTGGTTGTGTCAAAAAGGGAAATAGTGTGTCTGATAAAAGAAGTATTTCTTGTGCAGGTCCCTTTGGGAACTAACATCCAGGCTCACTTATGACCACTATCCCATATGTACTCAGCCATGATCCAGTGCACGCAGTTTCTGCAGAAGCACAGGGCATTTGGCTCCTTCGCACATGTGTTCTCTCATCTGGAATGTTCTGCCTCCTTAATCTGAGTGAAGACCATTGGCCGTGCTTCAAGACCCAGCGCAGACATTATTTCCGCTCCGTGTCCTGTGATCAGGGCCGGATGTTTCCCTGTGTCCACAGTCCTCCTCCTACCCTGCTCCATCATAGCCCTCTCAGGGCACTGTAGCTGGTCCTTGTTTCTTTGCCCACCATCAGGTGAGCTTCTCCAGAGGTAGAGCCCTGTCTCCCATCTCCATGTTCCCAGGGCCGAGCACAGTGCCTGGTTCAGAGTATCCAACAAGTGTTTGCTACAAACAAAAAAAAATTTTTTGCACTTATTTACATGCCAAGCACCATGCTAATTTTCTTGCAAGTATTTAACCCTTACAATTTTACCCTGTAACATTGGTGCTATTATTATGCCAGTTTCACAGATGAAGAAACAGATTCAGTGGATTGCCTGAGGAATCCTAGTACGGAGCTAGCCTTCTAACGCAGGTTGGCCTCACTTTGAAGCCATTGGGGGGTATGAGGCATTTTTAATTCATGGCCTTTAATTAGAATTATTTTTTTCTTTAATGAGATTGCGAAGGAAAGAGTGAAAGTCTTCTCTCTCCCACAGTGGCTAGCACAGTGCTTTCTAGTAGGAATTTGCAAAAGCTTTTCTGGCAGCAATAGGTCTTAACAAAGAGAAGTGGAGAATTACACTGCTGGCTTGAAGTGCAGTAAGACGGAACTTTACGTTGCCCTAATTAGCCAGTTGGTTTAATCACATTTGTGGTGCTCACAGGCCTTAGAACTTCCAGCTGGAAGGGACCTTAGCTCTCATCAACTCTTAACTCCCACATTTCACAGCCAAAGAAACAGTTGCAGAGAGATGAAATGGCTTGTCTAAGGGCACACGTCTCATTAGTTACAAAGCAAGGGCAGAAACAGATCTGACTCCTACCACCCTGAATCATTCTCCACTTTGATGCACAAATTCAACTCTATTCTTCAAATAAGGTGAGAGGAAAGTCCAGAAGTGGGGAATTCCCTCTAAGACAGTGAGTGCCTCCTGGAGGGAGGGTGGGGGAGGTCAGTGGTGGGCACTGGCCAGCCTCTCCTTCCAGCCTGTTCAATAGCAGCCACTGCTGCTCCTTCCCCTTCCCACACCCACCATATTTCTTAGAATGGTCACTCATTGCCTTTTCCATGACTACATCTTCCTTCTCGGGTTGTGAGAGCCTCTCTTGCTTAAAAGAAAGGTATCAGCGAGCATCTATCCTAACATTTACTGACTCCGTACTATGAGCACAGCCCTGGTTCAGACTCCTAAAAGGAGGCCTGTTCTCCTAGCTCCTGACACCAGTTCTCAGCCAGGTCCTCTTTTGCCCCCAGGGGACACCCAGCTAGTGTCTGGAGACATTTCGATTGTCATAAGGAGGGGTTGGTGGTACCAGCATCTAGTGGGTGGAGGCCAGGGATGCTACCGAAAATCCTGTAAGGCACCAGACAGGTCCCCACAGCAAAGAATTCCTTGACCCAAAATGTCAGTAGTGCTGAGGCTGGGAAACCCTGCTCTCCAAGGAGAAGGAGGGAAGAAGTGTTCACTTACTTCTACCTGGAATATTTCACCTGCCTCCTCCCACCTCATGCAGTGGTTCTACATGGACCTTTTCAGAGTCTCTGGGTTTGCACCCGCCTTTCCACTGTCCATTTTCCGTTTGGTGTTTCCATTTTGTCTCCCACAGAATATAAACAATTTTACCGAGCACCAGGTGGGGCCTCAGCAGAATGCTTGGTGTTGCAGGCATGTTTCATTAACTTTGCCTTGTCACTTCACTTCACCTGAAGAATATGGAGTAGTGATAGTATTTCCATTTTACCGATGAGAGAACAGGCTCAGAGAGGTAATGTAACTTGTCCAGGGTCATTCCACCATTCACCGTTTCAAACCCAGCTCCTTGCTATCCAGTCTAATGTTGCTGCTACTTTCCACAAAATAGCATTGGTTTATGCAAACAGATTTGAAACATTTAGCAAATGGAAGCCAGGTTTATTTTCCTCAAACAAATCCACTCCCTGCTTGTCTATAAAACAGTAAAGAGAGAGCTCTGAGTTGTATGTCAAGTATACTTCAATTACAATTTTTACAGTTTATTTGTTTATAATGTTTATTCATTTCTGAGAGACAGAGAAAGAGTGTGAGCACGGGAGGGGCAGAGACAGAGGGAGACACAGAATCCGAAGCAGGCTCCAGGCCCTGAGCTGTCAGCACAAAGCCCACTGTAGGGCTCAAACCCATGAACCATGAGATCATGACCTGAGCCAAAGTCAAATGCTTAACTGACTGAGCCACCCAGGTGCCCCTACAATTTTTTTTTTTTGAGAGCTCTGAGGAACTAGGGAAGCCTGAGGGTGAAGACAGGCTAGTACACTGTCTTCCCAGTTACATTGGCTTCAGCTTCTGAGAACTCAGGTGAGCCAGTAGTAACCCAAATTTAAACTCTAAATTGCCAAGGAGTCCTCTGGGGGATCCTCCTGACACACACCTCCCCTCCCTGGGAGGCACTCATCCACCCACCGAGGTCTTCAGTAATGCCTACAATTGGCACTGGGGACTTATTAAACAGCACCAACTCAGAGCTTCTGCCTACCAGAGTCTGTTGTGACAACCTTTATTTTGGTAATAAGAATATACCGTGTGTGTGTGTGTGTGTGTGTGTGTGTGTGTGTGTGTGAGAGAGAGAGAGAGAGAGAGAGAGAGAGAGAGAGAGAGAGAGAGAGCATGCATGCAGGCTACCAAAAAGATGGCCTTTATTCAGGGTTTAAACTGGGCCTTGGCCTCCTGGCCTCTCTGAGCTGTTTCCTGCTGCCCTCCATCCCAGGGATCTGCCTCCCCTGCAGTCTGGATTGGAGCTGGGCCCCTCCTGGCTTCTGCTCAGGTTAACCCCTTCCTTCTAGCTTTCCTGTGCTTGGCAGAGGGGCTCTGGGCCAAGTGGCCAGACACTCACTGGCTCCAGGGCTGTGGATGCCATAAACTCATTTTCCTTGGGGACCCAGAGCTCCACGAATTACTTTCAGAAAGCACAACTGTTTTGTTTGAAATGGCTCTGGGAAGGGGGAGAG